TTTGAAACTGATAGCGCGGTGTTCGAAAACGAATAGATGTATGCTGCTCACATTAAAAATGTACCGCTTTGGGACAGCGATGCAACAACACAATCAATCATTGATTAGAAACCGTTTCCGAAATAAGAAGATGCAGGTCACTATGCATCCTGTGCTGAAACACCTTCTATTCTCTCAATTGGAACAGGAATAAATGAACTTACGGAAGGGGAGAGTGACCACCAGACCAACATTGGTCCCGATCCACAAGTGTTCGGCTTTTCCGACGACGTGGAAACGAACCTTGTGATGGGATCGCTTTAAGTGTCGCTGAACAGAAAAACAGACAGAGAGCATGGATAAGAGAAACCTAATGTACAGCATGAATTATATTTCACGGTTGTCTACTTCCAGACTGTGAACCAAATGAACCACGGTACAACATTCTACATCATAAAAAACCAATGCATTATATGTTTATGGGTGAAATACTACTACACTAAACGGGTCAAAGCAGATGAATGTTTTCACGGTGTTCACGACCGGAGCCTTCGGTTAATAAAAGTTTAATTCGAAAGGCAGCGGGGCAGTGTGTGAAGTATGCATGACATTNTGAAGTATGCATGACATTAAAAAAACAATAAGAAAATAACGTGAACGACAAGGTTTTTATCCAAAAAGCACAAGAGATTTAATTCCTAAGGATAATATGATAAACTAGGGCCAGCTATGCGATCGTATACACTCGAACAACAATCTACTTCAACTCCTACTGCTGAATCTAATTTGGCAGCCAAGACCGACTCACGAAAGTGCAGAGTTAACGATTGTACACACTGAAACTAAACTGTGGTGAAAGCCTTATGTACAAACTTCTCACAATTTGTTCCACAGACTTGTTTTTACAAGCACACTTTATCCGGCAAAGCTATTCTGGGATCAGGCTAAGTAAATCGGACTTGATCGGAGGATGTTCGGTATAGGATAAAAACAATCAGTGAAGCAGCGCACTACATCTGCTCGGTTACTTGTCTTCAGAGGAATCTTTCAACTTCGTCTTCTATCGATAGGGTATCTCGTTTTGCTTACGAAAGTCAATATAGATAACCAGGCTGGAGTATAACGCATTGGAGTTCATGCACTTTTTAGTTGCCATGGCATTTTGAATCATTGTTTCTCGATGTACACACAGTTCGAATAAGACTTATCGCAACTGGAGTTTTACATCGCAAAGACAAAACAAGAGTTGAAAGACAATAAGCACATATTCACAGGCATGCATGAACGCGTGCTAGTACCCCCGGGGACACGTGAACCAAAGCATTGTTTTTGTTGTTTTTCACAACGTCAATAAGTTGAGGGCTACTCGTGGCTGCGGAAGTGGAAGAAACCTAATCTCGATAGAACTGAAAAGGAACACGAGTAAGAACAACAAAACGAAAAAGTAAGTAGACACGACAGCCACATTTAGGTCACAAGTACACCCACACGTGGACACATCGTGTCACAGCCTCACATGTAAGCTACTGAATCTGTCTCTGTGTTCTCGGAAAGTTGCCAGGGCTTGCATAGAGTTGTGTGTCACGCAGGATAAAGGACAGGGGCCGGCTGTCTCGCCCTTATTGACACTCACTAGCAATGTGCTCGAGAGAGCAGAGCTGTATGCTACCGAGCGCGTCCCCAGGTCGCGGATAGGGAACGGCAGCTAACTGGTGTTTAACTGTGAATAAGGTGGGTTTATTCTCACTGAATAAGTGATCGCGGACGATCAGTGGCAGCACTGGAGGATGTGGTGGGTTTACCACTTGGCAAGGGTTCTCCACACAAAACACCACATGTATCTTATGACAGCACTGTGACGTGGTGAGTGTGACCCGCCAGTGAATACGGCCATTGCCCCCATGTCGAATTCCATCTACCCGACAGTTTTCCAGAGAAGGCGAGTGAACCTACCGACCGGTCACCAGCTTATCCAAACCAATACTGCTGCCTTGTAGCTTGCGCTTGGTTGCGTAAAGGCTAGAGTGTATCCTCGAACAAGGCCTAGTCTGGACTGGGCGACCGAGTAGTACAACAGCCCACAATGTAAACAAAATCAACTTCAATTTAAGCAATAAATCGCTCTTTCAGTTCTCCTCGCTCGTGATAAAAACGCTTCACACCGTGCACATATTCCTTTTTCCAGTTTTTTCTCCACTTCACATTCATCCCCCTCAAAAATTCTTCAGATAATCGTACTACTAGTTATCCCTCCGATGTAAATTCCGTTCCCATTCTCTCGCGTCCTGCCTCGGATAGCGTCCAAGTCTCACCGAATCTTTCTCCACCATCTGAAGCTCTTCCTCGTCCTCGATGCTTATTCAATCTAGCCACATTTAACGTGCGTACCTTGATGCGTATTGGACAATGGGCATGTATTGCTCGTACTCTCGAGACACTAGTC